CCCCCCTCCGGAAGGTTTTCATTAATGGGATCAAAACTTATATTTTGGGGGCCTCCCCTCGTGGCGCAGCGGTTGAATGCTGGATTGCAAAGCTGCCCTCCTCAGCCTCTGCAGTGCAGGTTCGATCCCCGGCCGCTGGCGAGGGTTCCACATGGCGCGCAGGCCTCTCCTGCCACGCCCGCTGCTCCCCTCAGCAGTGTACTTTGGTCCTTATGCCTGTTTTACTCCCCGCTCTGGCTCTGGTGAATTCTCTCACCCTCCCACGCTTGTGACTGTACCCAGTGCTTGTATAAATTAAATAAATAAATCTTTAAAAAAAAGTTATATTTTGGGGCCTCCCTGGTGGCTCAAGGGGATAAGACGCAACCTACGAAGCTATCCACATCTACTGCAGCATGAGTTCGATCCCCTGCCAGGAAGCTACCCACATGGCATAGCAGACCTCTCCTGACTCGTCTGCTGCTTCCCTCAGCAGTGTATTTCAGTCAATCTGCCTGTTCTGTTCCCCACTCTGTCTCTGGTGAATCCTCTCACCCCCGCAACCTCTGGCCTGTACCCCAGTTCTTGTGTTCATAAATAAATAAATCTTTTTTTAAAAAAAGCTTATATTTTGGTCTAAACCACCTAACAGGAAACTTTTTGAATTTGATTTGTTTTCTTGGCATTTTAAAAACACATTCTAAACTGGTTTCTATGTATAATTGTTTAGTTACTTTCAATATTCTGGGGATATTTTGGACTGTGATGTTTTAAAGATGAACAAAATAAGATTCCTATCCTTAAAGATCTTTTTGTACAAAATATAGCAGCTGTAGTTATAGTAGTATGCTTAGGAGTGCTTGTGGCATTGGAATTGGGGGGTAAATCAGTGTTCAATAACTAGCTTTAAAGTTACTTGGGATTATGTACTTAAAAAAATTAGTAAGCTTCAGTTTTGTTATTTGTGAAATGGGTGGAAAATAGCATTCACCTCATGGGGGTGGGGTATGAGGATTACTTAGAAAATTTGTTCACTTGTGTAATACATATTCACTGAGCCCTATCTGTACAAAGCATTGCTCTAGGTACTATCAAACAACAGAGAAAATAAAAATTCATCCCAGGACTCATGAAGATTGTATTCTACTGGGGTTAGAGAGCTAATATACTTATGAATATTTAATATTATATAAATAAAATATAGATAATGCATATAATATACTTACTGAGTATCATAGCAAATGAAAAATATCATTGATTGCAAAAGCAGAATCATTATTGTTATATTTTATTATACATACAAAGTTTCTATGTGCTGAAGAAGCAAATATTGTAACAAAGTAAAGTGGATACACAAAATCAATGGCATTTAGTTTCTACCTTGCAATGTATTTAAAAAACAAATTCTTAAAAGAATACAGATTCTTGGTGGGTTTTTTTTAAGATTTATTTATTTATGCATACAAGAGCTGGGGTACAGGCCAGAGGTGTGGGGGTGAGAACATTCACCAGAGACAAAGTGGGGGGCAAAACAGACAGATTGACCAAAGTACACTGCTGAGGGGAGCAGCGGGCAAGTCAGGAAAGGTCTACTGTGCCATGTGGGTTGCTCCCTGGGTAGCTGGGAATCAAACTCATGCTACAGAGGTTGTGGATAGCTTCATAGGTTGCATCTTAACCCCTTGTATCACCAGGGAGGCCCCAGATTTTTGGTTTTATAGATTTCTTTGTTTTCATTTTATGAAGAAATGCCAGAGACTTCTAAACAGTTGATTTCCACTGCTACTCTTTTTGAACTTAAACATATAAATCCTGAAGTTCTGATCATTTTGCTTTTGATGAAAATATAGTGTTAATGACATTGAAAAACCATTAATGAAGCTCCCCTCCCAGGTCTTTTAGCAATTCACATTTCCTAAATGAAATCAATAGCCTGGAGAAGTCAGTGCTACAAATGAAACGGCAGGTTGTCTGCCCCAGCAACTCAGCTAGGGGAGTTCTTGATTTTTAAATTCTGCAGTGCTTATGATTTCAGTGACAAATGTTTATAGAAACCAGATAGTTTTTCATTATAAATAATTATTAGTGACAAAAAGACATTCCTGCAGTAAAGATGGGGTGAAAATAAAAGTTCCCATTTCCTCTCTTGGCCTCCAAGTCCTAATCTCCAGTCTCCCGTTTTAAACACTATCCTTAGATTCCTGAGGTTTCTCAAAGAAACCATTTCACTAAATTAAAAAATCTATATAGTTGTCATTTTGAAAGTGACCATGAAGAGGCATCTTTATATGATTCAAAAATTAAATATGTAACTGTCATGTAAATGTCATCTACAAATTGAGTTTGCTGTGTTCTTAAGAAACTAATTAAAGAGATGCTCATGTCAGAAATCTCTTAATAATTCCTCACATATTGGGCCTCCCCTGGTGGTGCAGGCGGTTGAGCACAGCCCTGTGAGACTGTCTGCAGCCTCTGCAACATCAGTTCAATCGCAGCTGGCCGGCGAGGGTCCCACATGGCGAGCAGACCTCTCCTGTCTCACCTGCTGCTCCCTTCAGCAGTGTATTTCATCAGTCTGCATGTTCTGTTCCCCGCTTTGTCTTTGGTGAATCCTCTAACCCTCCAGTACATCTGGCCTGTACTCTGGTTCTTGTATAAAATAAATAAATTAATTTTAAAAATACCTCACATATCAATTCCTTCATTGCTTATTGAAGGGTAAGGTCCCAGTTCTGTAGGAGATAAAACGATGATTACCTAGAAATATCTTACAATTTAAGTTTATGAGCATAATTTCAAAACAGCTAAGCATTTTACATACATCACTTATAATTCTCATATCAATTTTACATTGTTTTTTTCATTTTAGCAGAGGTAAAATTGAGAATTAAAGTTTTAAATAATGCAAATGGGAGCTTGCTATTAAAGTCTGATTACATGATCCAAAAGTCTCCTTTTCATACTTCATAAGAACTCATTATTTGTGAGGTTACTTGTAAATGTTTGCTTACTATTAAAAGTCAATAGTCTGTCGTGCTGAGAAAGTCTGCAGCTTCATGCATGTTGAATAATGTTTGTTCATAAAAGTGCTTATACAATTCTATGTATAAAATCGTGGTTCGGGCCTCCCCTGGTGGCTCAGCAGTTGAGCGCTGGGCTGCGAAGCTGCCCTCAGCCTCTGCAGTGCCTGTTGATCCCCGGCCTCCAGCGAGGGTCCCACATGGCACGCAGACTTCTGCCGCACCCACTGCTCCCCTCAGCAGTGTATCTCGTCAGTCTGCCTGTTCTGTTCCCCGCTCTGGCTCTGGTGAATTCTCTCACCCTCCTGCGCACTGACTGTACCCAGTCCTTGTATAAATAAATAAATAAATCTTTAAAAAAAAATCGTTGATTCGCATTGTTTTGTTGTCATACCTGATAAAAATATTCTCCATAACTTTTAGTTTTTAAACATCAAGGCTGATACTGTGCCATGTCAAGATTGCAGTGACAGTGTGATTGACAGGGGAGAGAGCCATGTGTAGATGGAGAAGCAAGAGTCCTGCTAACAGTCAGTTCCACTTGATAAGCAAAGAGGCCATGATCCCCATTGTAGGGCACTGAATTTGTATCTCTCTCACTAGAAGCCAGAGATAAATCAATTTCTTCTAGATATATAGATCCACAAAAAAGGAGCATTTGGTAATTCTACATTCACCCTTTTGTTCACTCAATGCATCAAAAATACTTACTGAGCATATTCCATGTGTCAGATATTTGACCAAAGAATGATAGAGTGATAAACAAAACCTTGTCTTTGTAGCACTTAAAAGGGATATAGATAATACAACTAAAACTAAATAAAAATTAAAAATTATATAACAAAATTATATAGAATTAAAACTCATAGAAAACATTAAAATTGCATATACCCTACCATCTAAGTAAATGTGTTAACTGAAATGAGAGGGTATATGCCAGGGAGAATCAAAGTACGCTAAACCACTAATATCACTTTTTACATCATGTGCATTCATGTACTATTGGAAGTAGGGTGTGAGTTCTATGTAATTCTCTACTTATACAAAATTCTGCAGTTAAACAAATGTTTCTTTTTTTCTATTATAATTCCAGAAAATGAGACTCAAGTAAAACTGGCTGAGCACTATCCCTAACACAGTCTGTACTAAATAAATATGACAATTATAAGGTCAGCTTTTCTGCTGTTTGAAGGAAGTACTATAATGTACTAGAACCCTCCCCTTAATTAAAAAAAAAAAAAAGCCAAGAGAAAAAAGCTATTAGTCTTAGGACAAGGTGTTTAAATAGAAGAACTGGGAAAGTTAGAAATAGTGATACTGATAGTCAACTGATACTGATAGTCAACTATCACATTGGTTAGGATGGAACCATGAATTTTGCTTAATTAGCTTATTTTAAAAATGTGTTCTGTACTGATGTTAAATTAGAATGCAGAATTTTGAGACAACAGCTATTGTCCTAAGACAAAAATGATATTCTGTTAATCATTATTATACACAACTTAAGTAAATTGTATTTTACAAAATTAATAATAATAAATACAAACAAAAACAATTATACCAATTTGAAATTATTAAATTAACCACCAGGTGGAGCTCCATGAATTGAGTGTTTGTAGTCAAAAATAGAAAATTGCTTAAATTGGCCAAATTAGGAAAAATTACAACACTTTGTCTTCAGCAGGGTTTTATTAATTTTCTTACTAATACTTAGAGAACTTATGAATCACAAGACAATGGCTCTTATTGAAGACAAGATACCAAGTTACTTGATTAATATGAAATAGTTTAGCAAACTGAATTTTAAAATCAAACTCCTTTTGCTTAAATTATAATATAGTAAGAATACATGTTCCATTATGTATTAATAAAAGTATCTAATTATAATTCAAATTGAGAAAGAGGAGAATAATCTGTAAATCTGCCTATTAACCTATCAATACTGAATTTTTTTCTAAATGATTTTTTTTCCCTCCTGTTTCTCTCTGTGTCTAACTCCAGAACTTGAGACTAAAAAAGACGAAAAGACTTCCAAAGCAGGTAAGGATGTTATAAGGTTTACAAAGTTGTGAACAAGACTGGTTTTACAATCAGGGCTCGAGAAGCCAAAAATTGAAAATTTATGGTAGATCAACACCGTATGTTAAAATATATGAAATAAGCAGTAAACATAAATGTCTGTTAAAGTTGAAATAGAGTCTGTGTTTCCTGATAAGAGATTTGGATAAGCTCATCAAAGAATTGGAATGTTAGTATATGCTGCGCCTTATTCATCTACTAGACAGTTGAACACTGTTAATAACATGCTAAAGGAACAATATTGGAGGCTCCAGCAGATCATGACAAATAAGATGATATATTGAATCTTTATATCAAAAATTATAACTAATTTTTCAGTTTATCTGCAGAAAAGGAAAATCTACATACAAAATTGCTTTATAGCTCTTAGCACTTTTACTGATGTCAGTGAAAATTTATTGATTGCATAAAAGATGCTTATGTCACCTGTTTCTATAAATATAACATGGTACTTTATGCTTTATTTTACTGTTTGTATACAATGGAATGAGCAGTATTGTATATAATATGTAATAAATTTCCTACTATTAGCTTAGTATTAAATAACTATGTCTATCTTTGTGTTATATTTATTTTTAATTTCCTAAAAAGAAGAACAAATCAGCGTTAATGATATATTTTGTTATAAATATATTCAATCAGTAACTTATTTTGAGCGCAGCACTGTGAAGCTGTCCGCAGCCCCTGCAGTGTGGGTTTGATCCCGGCCAACAGCAGAAATACCCACATGGCGTGGCAGACCTCTCCTGTCTCGCCCGATGCTCTTCTCAGCAGTGTATTTCAGTCATTCTGCCTGTTCTGCACCCCATTCTGTTTCTGGTGAATCCTCTCACCCTCCTGCACATCTGGCCTGTACCCCAGTTCTTATATGTATAAATACATAAATCTTTAAACAAAAAATTTAATTTTATTTATGCATACAAGAACTAAAGTATTGGCCAGAAGTGCAGGGAGTGAGAGGATACATCAGAGACAGATTGGGTAACAGAACAGGAAGATCTACATTGAAATACACTGCTGAGGGGAGCAGCAGTGTGACAGAGTGGTCTGCTGAGCCATGTGGCTTAGCTCCCTGGCCAGGGATCAAACTCATGCTGTAGTGGCTGACGATAACTTCATAGCACTGAGATTTAATCCCTGTGCCACCAGAAGACCCTAATCAGCAACTTACTGAAACATATATTATGGTAATTTCACAACCATGTGTTCAGAATCATGCTTAGTGGTACAAAATTTACCAATGAGTGATATTGTTTCTAACTTAAGTGAATATAATCAAAGACAACAACTTGAACTACTGAAAAATGCTGCAATAATATTAGCAAAGACTGTCCTCAGAGTCCAGAACGGACTCTGTAGGATTTCAGGAATAGGAGAGCAGTCCAGGCAGAGGAAGGATTCAAAAGTATGGTGGAAGCTGTGTTATCATCACACTAGAAAGACAGGAATTTGACCCTTTGTCACTTGCTAGAATTTTGAATTTACTTAAATCACTTTATATTTCTGAACATCAGTTTTGTTTTCTGTTGAATGAAGATCATCAGACCAGCAGGGTTGTTTTAAGAAACAGAGATTGTGCCTATCATTTGGCTCAGATTTAGTAAATGAGAGCCCTATTTAGAAGTTAACCCAGAGGTAGGGATGAGCACATGTTAGCAGGCAACAGGAGAGAATCAAGGACAAGCTGAGTTTCCAGAGGCCCATGAATAACAGAAGATGGCAAGGCAGAGCCGTGTTATGTGGCCAAGTAAGAGTGATTCTGAAAATCCAGGAAAGGGGGCTTATGAGGTCAAAGTGAAAAATTTGGATTATCCTCTGTTAATAATAAGAAGTGATAGTAAATGTTTTTATTAATGTGTGGATGAAATCTTAAAGAAAGAATTTTGAGTCAGAGATTGACTTATGAGGTCAAAGTGAAAAATTTGGATTATCCTCTGTAAATAATAAGAAGTGATAGTAAAAGTTTTTATTAATATGTGGATGAAATCTTAAAGAATTTTGAGCCAGAGATTGATACTTATTATAATGTAAGTATCAGAAAATAAAAGTGAGAGAAATTGGTACAGAGGAAACAATGATGAAGCTGTTTTTGTTTTTATTTTCAAGATGTTTTATTGAGATGAGTAATATTCATTGTGGCATTATTAGGAATTAAGTTTTTAAAAACCATAAGACCAAGTAATTCATTGAAAAATACTGATATAGGGTCTTCCTGGTGGTGCAAAGGATTAGACCCAATCTATGAAGCAGTCCATAGCCTCTGCAGCACAAGTTCGATCCCCAGCCAGGGAGCTGCCCACATGGTGCAGCAGACCTCTCCTGACTCGCCCACAGCTCCCCTCAGCAGTGTATTTCAGTCAATCCGCCTGTTCTGTTCCCCTCTCTGTTTCTGGTGAATCCTCTCACCCCCCATTCCTCTGGCCTGTACCCCAGTTCTTGTAAGCACAATCTTTTTTTAAAAAGAAAAATACTGATATCTTGTTATGTAATATTTCATTTATATGAATGCATATGCTTTCAAAACAGCCAGACTTTCTGTACTATGCTGTTACTGCTTTTGTTATTGTCAAGTGCTTCAGAGGAAAAGAATATTAAGTGTATTTACCTCCAATTCCCTAGCATGAGAGGATGCAAAGGCAATTAGATGGAGAAGTTGCTAAGGGAATGCTGGGGAGTGGATGCAGGAAGACATTCAGATTGGAAACATTCACTTTGAGTCCTCAGAACAGGCTTTCTCTCCAGGCATCTAAAGGGTTAGTGCAGCAGCCAAAGGAGAAATTTTTAAGAAAAACGAACATGGACTGGAGAGAGAAGAGAGTGGGCAATGTGCTAGATTTCATGGGAAATCAGGAAAAACATTACATAATTCGCAAAGTGGGTTAGAGGTGGGACAACAGTCTTGGGGTTTCAGAGAGGTAAAGGGACACTCATATTTGACCAAAACCTGTATTTTTATGACCTTTAAGGAAGTTTTTTCAATAGAGTTAGGGACGGAGAAGCCAGTTTATGGGAATTAATAAGAGGATTTAAAAATAATAAGTGAAGGCAGTTGAAAACTGCTTTTTTCAGTTTTATGTTAAAGGGAAGCAATATTATCTTTCAGCAGTGGAATCAATGAAACATGATTTTTGTTTTTTTGGGGTTTTTTGGTGTTTGTGATAGGCTAGAGTATTCCAAGGAGAAAAGGAGCAAGAAATCCAGAGGATATTACTTTGGAGAGAACTGGCCCAGATCTGAGAAGTGTTGGAATACACACTTCAGGTGTAGGAAATTAGCTTAATTATAAAGAGGGAAAAATTTCCCCTGAGCTTTGAGGGAATAATGAAAGTATAGATTAAATTAAAGTCAAGTGTGCACACAGACACTCCTGCTCTATCTTCTTCTCGGAAGGTGATCTCAAACGTTGCCACCTCCAGGGGATGGTTTTCTTGCTTCATATTATGCTGATACCTAGACCATATCTGATAACCTCTTATTTCTCAAAAAAAAAATCACTCTTACAAAAAAATAAACTACTTAAGCAACACTGTTAAAAATAAAGAAATACAAGATGACTATGTTTTTAAATACTAGTGCAATAATATTTATTTTTGACATAGCATATCATTAGCTACTAAATTTCTTTTTTTCCCCACCCCCTATGAAAATGATGGCAAACAGGACATGCATTTCATTAGCTAATTGAAGAAGAGTTAGGTGTTATTTTCTGGAAGCAATGGACCTTAATTATAAATGATAATATAATTTTAAAGGCTTGTATAAATTAGAAGCAATAATTTATTTTTCTTATCAAGAAAATTAAAATTTATAAATGGTTCAGAGTCCACTATCTGAATTTTGAACTGCTTCATCAACATCTTTACATGGTTACTTTGCCTCACCTGCTTTGCTTGAAAGTGAACTCAATATCTCCTCCATTGCCTTTTTCTTTTGTTTCTGATATTTAGAAATAATTCCTGACTTAACAGTCAGTTGCAGTAACTTAAATTTTGAGTCACTTACAACTTCTCTTTCAGACACCAACATCCAAGTAACTAAATCTATTATCTTCTTTTTGTTCTCCAGAATCCTAGTTCTTATTCTCATCATCTCTTGTCCAAACAAATATACAAACCCATGAACTAGTCATCTTGTTTCTATCTCCTCGTCAAATATCCACCAGAAGCCTATGCTAATATTCTTTGTTGTAGGTACATTTTGAGGTTCATTGTCACTATATAATACTACCCCCTACTTATTTCTTTATGTGGTTTCCACTTGTCTTATCTACCATGGCCTCCCCCCTGCCACACACATAGACATTTAAAAAACACAACCAGTTCCATGGATTTTTGTCTATTTAGAACTTTTGAATACTTTCTTTGACTTTGGGTTGATATTGAAAGCACTTGCTTTTTCATCTACCCTTTGTTCAATAGCTCTGAACACACACCAGCTATTCTCTAAACCTTGATCTGTTTGCAAGAGCATTCCTCTAGCATGTCATGTGGTACCCATTCTTGTTGCATGGGTTTCTCTAACTTTATATCTAAGCTCCTATATTATTCCTGTTATAAGTAGCATAGTGTTTTTCACATGGGAGATTTAGAGAGGAGGATGTAAGGATCCTTCTTGTATCAATTATGTCTCAAGCAGCTTTAATTCAAAATAATCAGCATATCACTTTAGCATATTTTGGGGTAGTCTGCAGTCATCCTCAATGTAAGCTTTTAAGAATATAAAGACAAATAACTGAAACTCTCAAGAAATATGTTGTATAAAGTCAGAAATTATTAAATAAATTGTGAAATGGCAGATAGGCACAGAGAAGGTTCTCTATGGATCCGGGCAGATGGGTGAAGGCGAGTCCTGGAGCCCTACGTGGCTTTTTCAGGTTTTTAATGATCTTTTTACACCATTTGTAGTGAGGTAACCAGGTGCAGGGCAGGCAGGGTTGGTCAGGGGGCCAGGAGGCTGGCAGG